AAAAAAAAAAAAAAAAAAATCAAACAACAACATCAGAACAAAACTAGAAAAACCAGACTGAATACTGCAATGTATAATCACAGAAAAAGGAAAGGAGGGAGTGTGGTGCTCAGGCATCCCCTCTAGTCACCAGGATGGAGGTGTACAAACAGTGGGGGAAGGGGACAATGGCCAAATTCCAAAAGAAAAGAAAAGAAAATCAGAACAAAACAAAACCAACAAAGTGTATTGTCCACCTTTTCTCCAAGGTTCCTGCAGCATTTTTCCATGGTGTTTTGCTCCCCCTTTTGGTCTTGCCATTTGGTCTCGTCCAAGATGTTGGCTCCAGACCTCTGAGCCCGGCAGATTCAAAAGTATGTGATTTCTTACTTCAGCTTCAAGTTCTACTAGCTATAAGCTTTCAATCTTTTAAAATACTCCTATCTCTGTGGTTCTGAGTTTTGGAGTTCTGCCCTGGATCTACTTTGCCTGGTATTCTATGGTATGGCTGACACCGAACTTCACTGCACCTCCACCCTAGCCACCATCAAGCCCCGCCTTCCTGTTTCTGTGAAGATTTACAGCCTCGGAAACCCCGTACAGTATTGCTATGAGTCGGAACTGACTCCACGGCACATAATCATTACCATATCTAATTAAACAAAATAAATTTTATTATAAGCTACAGGTTTATATGTATTAATTTTTATAACTATCAACATTATTTTAACAAACTTGTATTATTTTATCATTACATCAATTGACAAGCATGTATTTTTTTAAAACAGTACTAAGTGCAAAGTAGAAAATATGAATCATGGACTTGAACTTCAGAGCATTAATTTATAGAACAACTGTTAAAAGAAGATGGTAACAACACAAAACAATGCATGAGAACCTGCTGAAATGAAGGTAGCATAATTGCTATGAAAATTCAAGTTCATTCAGGATTAATACCATCCTTATTTACATTAGTATTCCTGAATAGATTGTAAAGTAAATTAAGAGCCATGAAACAGGTCAGTAGACTAGATGCCACAGAAAATAGGAAACCATTCAAAATACTGATGAGAATAAAATAATGAAAATACTGTTGAAAGAAGATTCATCTGGAATCGTTGCACATAATAAGTTGGAAGATCACAGAGCTGTCTGGAAATTCAGATCAGAAACACTTGAAGGCCTGGATAGGGATGTGCATGTGCCCATGGAGAAGGATGAGGTGACCACACCATTGTGAAGAAACGACTTCAGAAAATGGTTAATGAATGGCAAGGGTCAGAGAAGAGAGAGAGGAAAACATAGAGAGAGAAAATATATTGACAGAGAATATATATTGACAGAGAATATGTTCTGGACCAGGTTATGTTAGCTACTAATAGATATGAACTCAACAGAGAGCTAGATCTGTTTGTGGTAGAAGCTAATGAAGTTCAATTTTGGAGGTTTTATTTCTGAGATGACACTGTGATATCCTAGAACAAATACCTAAATATCAACTGAATATGAAGTCATAGACTATAGACAAAGACTAAGGTTGAAGTTATTTTGTTGTTGTTAAGTACCATTGAGTCAGTTCTGATCCACAGTGACCCTGTATAGGGTTTCCAAGGAGCAGCTGGTGAGCATGAACCTCTGACCTTTCTGATCAAGACAACATTATAGGTCAGTGCATAAACCTACAGAGCCACACTAGGACTCTGTGTATTATAAAATTGGAATTCAAGAAAAAAAATTATTGTTTCATTCATCTATTCATCCAACCCAAATTTATGATGTCTTACCATGTTCTACTGATTGCACTCATCCCTGGGAATATAGAAATGAACATAAGAGACACTGTTCCTGTCAACACAGAACTAACATTCCAATGAAAGAAGAGAGATGACAAGTAAAAATAGATTGCATAGTATGTCACATAGTGATAAATTCTGTGGAGAATAATAAATTAGGATAAGAGATAAGGAATGTGAATATAAAAGTTATTTACTTTTAAATAAGGAAGATCAGAAATCTATCTAAAAAGGTGATGTTTGAACAGAAAAATGAAACAAATGAAAGTATGAGCCTTACCAAATTTCTGGGAACAGGGGAATTACTCTGTTCAAGGAAGAGGCCTGGTATGGTGCTATAGGACAAGCACTGGACTGCTAACCACAAAGTTAGTGATACAAACCCACCAGTCACTTCTTAGAAACCCTATACAGAATCGCTATGAGTTGGAACTGACTTGATGGCACTTAACAATAATAACAACAGACAGAGGAATAGGTAGGTGGAATGGCATAGAGGAGAAAATACAAAGGTGAAATAGAATGGATAGAATAGAATGAGTCAGGAGAATCAAGGAAGTAACTGACTATCTGCTGTTGTTATTGTTAAATGTTGTCAAGTTGGTTTTGACCCAAAGCAACCCTATATAGGGTTTCCAAAGAATGGCTGGTGAGCTTCAATTGCCAACCTTGTGATTCAAACTGATGTGTAGTCCAGCGCAGCACATTAGCCTACAGCACCTGATAAATCCTGAAAATGTTTCAGGTTTTGTGTTTGGGTTAGGATTCTAAATGGAGTAGGCTGAAGAGTGAAAATGAAGGAAGCAAAAAGAGAAGTTAAACAATCCTTTTAAGAAAAAAATTTCTAAAATAAGTAGTGGTGCTATAGCATAAGCCCTGGACTCTAAACCAAAAGGTTGGCAGTTCAAGTCCACTAGCTGCTTCTCAGAAACACTATACAGGGTTGCTGTGAATCAGAACAGACTCAACAGCACTTAACAACAACAAAAGTAAAGCACAGTAGCTAGAGGAGTGAGGAGAGGGGAGGGTGAGGAACATGCAAAGTAAAGGAAGAGAAAAAACAAAACAAGTGAATAAATATTTTTGATGTTGAGGATGAAAAAAACCAAAGGGATGGAATGGCAGAAGAGGTAACGTCGCCATGGAGCAAAATCTTATAAACTAAAGACACTAGAAGCATGCTGAACTATACAGATGAAATATAACAGGAAGGACAAGTTGAATGATCATGAAAAAAAAGAACACTACATTTATCAAAAGAAAGAATTATTAGAATATATACGAAAAGTTACTGCTTGTGTGTTTTTGACATCTGTAATATTTCATTCATGTTATTTACAATATTTCTAGTCATTAGACATTATTCTAGTCATTAGAATATAGCAATAAATTGTTGTTGTTTTATATGCCATGGAGTTGGTTCTGACTCATAGAGACCCTGTATAGGGTTTCTGAGGCTGTAAATCTTTCGGGACCAGAAAGCCTTATCTTTCTCTCGCAGAACAGCTGGTAGTTTCGAACTGCTGACCCTGAGGTTCACTGCCTGATTCGTTACCACTACACTACCAGAACTCCTATAGTATTAAATTAATAATTTCCTCTAAATTTCTGAGAGAATGAAAAAATAATCCCTACTCTCAGAAACTTAGAGGAAATTATTAATTTAATAATTGACCAAATAATGAGCCCTGGCATAGCACCAGACTTCTAACTGCAAGATCGGCAGTTTAACCTCACCAACCACTCTCAGAAATCCTATACAAGGTCACTAGGAGTCAGGCACATAACAACAACAGCAACAATCAAATAACAAAAACCCTTGTGTTAGTATTTGCTGTAGGCTCACAATGATCATCTCTTCCTGATATTCTTACCAAAGTGTAATCCTCTGTCCTTGAAACTGAGTCTGATTTAGTGACTGCCTCTTAGCAATTAAAAATGCTGCAAACCTGTTGGGAATATCACTTCCATAACACATTACAAGAGATTGTGACTTTGGTTTGGCTAGTAGGCTCATTCTATTGTATTCTCCACTTGCACATACTAACCTGCCACTTTGGATAAGATCACATGGCAAGAAACTGAGGGTGATGTTTGGCCAACATCCATCAAAAATCTGAAGGCAACCTTAGGCTGGCAACCTTCAAGAAACGGAATCCTACCAACAATCACATAAGAATCTCAAAAGCAGATCCTTCTCCATTAAAGTTTTTAGATGTGACCCTGGTTCTGGCTGAGACTTCCATTTCAGCCTTTAAAGAGATTCTGAGTGAGAGAATCCTCCTAAGCCATAGCCAGATTCCTAATACACAGAAACATGAGAGAATCATATGTGTTGTTTTAAGTCACTAAATTCTGTGGTAATTTGTTTTATAATAATAGATTTCATATTGAAGTGAAATAACCACTTACCAGTTGTTCCAATGGAAGGATGATATCTTTCAAAACATGCTGTGAATGATTTCTTCGGTGCCGGGTTATCTGTAGAAATATTGGTATTTGATACAATTTCCATTTTTTTCTTTTAATAATAGGCTTTATATATTTTTAAAATACAACAATTTAGTGAGAATGCATAAAATAACCATATTCTGGTTAACTCATGAAGGCAAATAAAGTAGATATAAAAAGAGAAGTAAGTGTTTTGAAAATTGACAACTTGAATAAAATGTGTTTCCAAAGATGGTAGTAACAATATCTCACATTAAATACACTTTTCCCCTGTATATTTCTCCCATCAAGGGATGGGTTTTTGTTCTTTCTTTTTTTAACCTGGGCAGACCTTATGGCTGCTTCAATCAAAATATATGGTGGAAATGACAGTGTATCATTTCCGAGGTTTGGTCATAAATAGGTCATGCACTTTAACCTTTTCTGGAATGTTCAGCCTTGGAATCCCGTCACCATGCTATGAGAAAGTCCAAATTACCTCACACAGAGTGACCACAGGGAGAGAACTCAGGTTTCCTGGCTGACAAACTAGCTAAGGTTTTAGCCAACAGCCAAAATCAACCACCAAAAGTGAGTGAAAAGCCCAATAGATGATTGCCAGCTTCAGTCAGTGAGTCACCTCCAGCCTTCAAGTCTTCCCAGCAACAGCACTAATGTGGTGGAGTAGAGACAAGATGTTTCCGCTGTGCTTTATCTATTTCCGTTTCTTTACCAGACTCTGTAAATTTAATAAAATGTCACCTGTATATTTTTAGGTGACTTGTTAAGCAGTAATAGTAATTGGAAAGTATTTAATTTTGAAACATTTTGTGTTTATGATGTGAGCTCAACTTTTCAGAATTAGTGCTCAAATTAATTTTCATGTTTTACGAATCGGGCTGCTAATCTCACAGTCAGCAGTTTGAAACTATCAGCTGTTCTGCGGGAGAAAGATGAGGCTCTCTACTCCCATAAAGATTTACAGCCTCGGAAAACATGTACAGGGTCGCTATGAGTCGGAACTGACTCCACGGCACATAACAACAACAACTACTATTATCCAGATTTATGTGGATGTGCAAAAAACACTCTATAACCACTTTTGGACTCCTGGTGTGGCACTGCAGAATCAGTACTAGCCTATGAACCGCTAGGTCAGCAGTTCAAATCCACCAGCTGCTCCTTGGAAACTGCATTCAGGGTTACTACGGATCAGAACTGATTCAATGGCACTTAACAACAACAACAACAACCATTTTTGAAACAATAACATAAATGCTAGATTGCTCTTTCTCTGAAAGTACTTACTATAAACACAAATAAGAAAGTAAAAAAGAATAAGAATCTATGCTTATACTTTTTGATAGCAAAAGATTTTAATAATAATCCCCTTATACTAGTCATTTCCTAGTATTTTACATTAATGAAAGAGAGAAAGAGGGAGAGGAGAAAGTGAGAGAGAGTGTGTGATGCAACAAAGAAATAAGACACGTTGACTGCATTTGACTGTGGTTACTGGCGCATGTAATTGAAGGATCTCTATCCATTTTGAAGGAATTGTATTTCCATAAGCATCCTGGTGTGGCACTGTAGGATAAGGTCGGTGGTTCAAACCCATCACCTGCTCCTCAGAAACTCTATGCAGGATCTTTATGAAATCTCTGCTCTAAACAACCCTGAGCCTCATAAGTACTACACTGAACGTTAGGCACAAAGGCATTACAACATGAAGGCCGTACTCCTGTGTGCGTTCTTGAGATATGACCTATGGAGAAAAATGGAGAAGAGTCCCTTGCAAGTGGAGCCAATATCCCTGACACATGGGGGCTTCCCAAAAAGCAGAGCAAGCGATTGTCTCCACTGCCAGGGCAGGAGATTCAAAGGGCCTTTTTATCAGGATTTAATCACTGATTTATTTCATTGACTGTTGTCTGTCTACCATGCTTTCTGTTAACAAGTGAAAAATATTGATTAGCTTCTATTTCTTTTCCTAAGTTCTTGTTCCACTTTGGTCTATTGGATGTGGTGGAGAAATTAAAGTAGAGCGATTATTTATCAAAGTCTAAACCACTGGCCCACAGACAGGGATCTGGGCCTCATGGAGAGAGTTATTTATCACTAGATATTCTGGAATTTGAGCTGGATATAATAACAGGAGAGAACTTTTGATTGTCTCCTTTTGAGAAGCAGATTGATACATTCTAAGTGTTGCAAAAGAGTTGCACATTGTTCTATAGTGAATGGGAGGAAGGACTTTAGCCAAGCCCACTGGTTGTTCAACAAAATTCTGTCCTTTTTTCCCTGTGCATAAATCTAGACTAGGCTTCTCAGGCTGCAATGAGGTTTGGAGTGAAGGTTCAAGCTAATGGAGTGAACAGAAATGATGTGAACCACTCCCTCCTTGGTCGTCACTGTTACCAAGTGAGAGCTTCCATTCCATGTTCTCTTCTTCTGTGTTGGTTGAGGGTAAGCCTCACCCCAAGGGATGATGAAGATGCAATATGGAAGGAGTCTGCACCCTTGAATTGCTTCATGAAGAACAAACAGGTAAAAAA